TGGGATGGAGGCGGGGAGCTTCCTTCTGGGGGCTGGGACCGGCTGAGCTTCACTGCCCTAGGAGCCTGGGATGGAGGCGGGGAGCTTCCTTCTGGGTGCTGGGACCGGCTGAGCTTCACTCTACAGAAGCCTTTTGATCTACAACTATTGTGTGTCACATACTGTATTAGGAGCTGCAATGTAGACATTATTATTCTTGTCTTATGGGGAAGAGATTGGGTTCAAAGGATTATAAAGGTATTCATACTCATAACTATTGAAGGACAGGTTCTCTAGCAATGCTCTTGCTCATTTTCCAAGGGACACTGCTTTTATTAGAAAATTACAGGTTGTAAGGCTCCTGCAAAGTTATGCTCAGTCTACTTAGTTCTGGAATACACAGACAATTTAGATTAACAAATGGGTCTAAGTCTTCCATTTTGTTTGGTTACATACATTATATACCTTATAGGAATAGGACCTTGGGACTTAATGCCTTTTTTCTTCTTCTGACATTTAACATTTTGACATGAACTGGTTTGCTATATAGTATTGAAATAGCTCATTGATTTAGCAGAATGACAATATCTTGACTTTGACCAATTTCTTAAATTCTGATCATTCCATTTGGATATTGATCACTTTTATATATAGGGGTTAAAAGAGATATTTTAGAAGTAATAGGTGATAAGGTTCTTAACTTGATAGGAGATTTATATATCTTCTCAGCTGTCAAAGCTAAAAACATTATTTGTGGCCTTAAAATAACTGAATCTTTAAGTTAAAAGAAATAGTGAAAGTAATTTCACTTGATTTCCTATTGTAATTACCTTTATCTAACATGAATTACATAAAGAAATATTCTATTTATTCTGAATATTTTGCCTGTTACTTCCATTGGGTGTCACCTTGTTATATTATAAATCGTGGGACTTACTAAACTATTATAAAAGCCCCTTGCAGTAGTAGATATTTGGTGACTTACATATTTTTTTCACTGTATGGTACCATTACCTTGATATCAGAGTAATTTAATTACTATAAAAAGATACTTCTGTTTTGGACTTTAGACAAGATCCTAGTGTAAGCTCAATTGAGTAGTTTATTTTTCTTCCTCATGACCATAGTTGAGTAGTTTGCTTTTCTTCCTCATAACCATATTTGACATATAATAAGACCTTGTTTTGGGTAAAGGGTTTTAAGACTATTTTTATATGAAACTTCTAAGAAAAGACTACCTTTTTTTTTATTAGTACATATTAGTCATATGGAATAATGGGTACATGCATATAACATACTCTGATCATCTCCTTCCTCCCATTACTCCCTTGTCCTTCCCTTTCCCCTCCCACTTATTCTCTTCTTTTTCTTTAATGATCTCCTTTCTACTTTCATGTTCCCTGTCTCTATTTTTTAAAAATTACACACATGAGAGAAAACATGAAATATTTTCTTAGTCTGGCTTATTTCACTTAACATGGTGATTTCCAGTTCCATCCATTTTTTTGCAAATGTCATGATATAATTCTTTTTATAATTAACTAATGCTCCATGTGTATACACAACACATTTTCTTTATTCATCAGTTGATGGAAGTTATTTCTATAGCTTAGCTACTGTACTGTAGTAAACATGGATATTAACGTATCTCTAAGCTGACTTTAATTCTTTCTGGAATATACTGAAGAGTGATATAGCTGGAGCAAATAGTCTGTCTATTTTTTAGTTTTTTGAGGAACCTCTGTACCAGTTTCAATAGTGGCTGTACTAATTTATATTCCCACTAGCAGTGTAGAAGGGTTCATCTCACCCTCATCTCCATCCTCACCATCCTTTATTGTTTTTTGTGTTTTTGATGATACCCATTCTGATTGGGGAGAGAGAAAACCTCAATATGGTTTTGCTTTTTATTTCCCTGATGGCTAAAGATGTTGAACAGTTTCTCATGTACTTATTGACCATTTGTACTTCTTTTGATAAGTGTCTGTTGTGTTATTTGCCCATTTTTGGATTTTTTTTGTTGTTGTTGCTGTTTTTGCCTGTACTTGTGACTTGGAGTGCTTCCTCTATGTTTTCTTCTAGCAGTTTCAAAGTTTCAGGTCTTATACTTAGGTCTTTGATTCATTTTGAATTGATTTTCGTACAAAGTAAAAATAGAGATCTAATTTCAGTCTACTACATATGAGTATATTGTTTTCCCAGCACTGTTTGCTAACTACCTTTTCAAAGAAATGCCTTATTGTCATTGATTCTCTCTGCTATATATTTTCTGTTTTACTACCTTTTACTCTTTTGTAGCCTAATTTGCTTCTTTTTCTAAGTTTTTCAATGAATACTTAGCTTATCAACTTTTGGCCTTTTCATAAATTTCCCTGTAAGTATGGATTGAAGTGCATTTCATGTTTTGAAATATATTTCTATTATTATTCAGATCAAAGTGCTTTCTAATTCTCATCGAGTTTTTGTTTTTTTTCATTTTGGTTCATAGGTTATTTAGAAGTGTACTTTTTAATTTCCAAATATATTTGAAATTTCAGATACTCTTTATTTTTGTTTATTAGGAAAAATATGTTTTATATCTTTAATACACTTTCATCATCTGAAAATCAACATATACAAAACCGGGAAGAATAGTATAACAGCATAATCATCATTTAGGTATCCAAAAATTTCAACATTTTTATCTCATGACCAACTTTGACTCATTTCTATACTTCTATCATTCCTTTCCTACTAGATTATTTTGAAGCCAGTCTGAGATATGTCATTTTTCTATACATATTTTATTATGTACTTTTATTAAAGATGACATTTAAAACATGATCATATTCCATTGCTGTCATGAAATGTATGATATTCAGATTTTTCCCACTGTCTCAAAATTATTCTTTACAATTTGTTTTGAAACACAATCCAAATAAGGTCCAAGCCAGGCGTGGTGGTGCATGCCTGTAATCCCAGCACTCGGGAGGCCATGGCAGGAGGATCACTGCAAGTTTGAGGCCAACCTGGGCTACATAGTGAGTTCAAGCCCATCCTGAACTACATAGTGAGGCCCTCTCTCAAATCCCCAGCCCCCAAGAAAACCCCAAATAAAATCCAAGCATTGTTATTGATTAATATGTCGCATAAGTCTTTTTAGTTTGTGTATCCCCTCTGCATGACTCTTTTTCACCTCTTGGCATTTATTTATTGAAGAAACATTTTTTACCATAAGGAAATGACACATTAGAGGATATAGACATATTTAATCTGATTAGAATTTTATACAGTTTATGCATAGTATTAAAACCTCATGTGATATCCCATAAATATATATAGTTTTCATCAGTTAAAATTTTAAGAATAAAATATAATTATTTTAAAGAGTAGAAAAACAAAGAAACTTTATTTTTGTCTTACAAAGTTTCCCATGGTTTGATTTTGCTAATTGGACTTTGATGGTATAATTTAATGGGTTTCTCTATCTTTTGTATTTCCTATCACCTACAAAGTTGATAGATACAGAGACTTGATCAGATTCAGATTTGGGCTTTCCTTTTGCTAAATGGTCAATATAGTTGTGTGTCTGTTTTCATAAGTAGTCACAATGGTGTCTGTTTATTTCTCATCTTGAGGAAGGCTGCCTAGATTCATGAATTGATGAGGGAGTTGGGAAGTGGTGATAGTCTATCTCTGTCATTCTTCATTTTTATTTGGGTTATTGCTATAAAGAGAAATTTCACCTCTGCTTACAGTTCTTGTAGGAAAGACAGATATTTAATTCTCCTTATTTAGTGGTTTTCAAAATGAGTTGGTTCTCTACTATCCTTGAATGTTCAGCAATGAGACATTTTAAACATACCACTATGAACTAATAGTGTGTTTTGATTCTTTTGCATTTATCAACTCTATTAATATTCCTACCATCCTATATTTGGGCAAATGGACCCCATTCAATTGGCTCCTGAGTCTCTTTGACCTAAATATAATTTTTTATAATTTTCTTGTGTGCAGGATGTTCCAGGCTCGTCTTGTACAATTCCTGACATTTCTCCAAGAAGGTCTTACTTTGTTTGAGTAGGAGATCATATTTAGAGACAGTGTGAACACATTTAGTGGGAAATATAGCATAGTTTTAAAAAATGAAGAACACTATTACTTTGTATTGTACTTTCATTTAGATTCAGAGCTATTGGGATTTTTGCTTAACCTCGTCAGTATCACAGCAGTTTCTTCTTTTTTTTTTTTGGTACCGGGGATCGAACTTGGGACTTTGCCCTTGTGAAGCAGGCGCTGAAACCACTGAGCTAAATCCCCAGCCCACAGCAGTTTCTTCTTTCTCCCACACTTCAAACACTAGTTTTCAACATGACACTAGCAAAACTAGTTATTTGATTGAATTAAACAATACACCCCCCCCCAACACACACACTTCCCAGGCCCAGGAAAACATACTTACCTCTGCTTAGGTAAGTTTGAAATTCAACTTTTACCTTCTAGTTCTTCAGCCAATTAAAGGTTCTGCTTATCTTCTCAGTTTTTCTTCTGGAATTGACAGATATCTCCAGTAGAGAAGTAGTTACAAAAGCCATGCTCACTTCTTGAGGCTTATCTCATTTTTGAGATATCAGAGTTGTAAACTGGGTTGGTCATGCTCACCTATAATCCCAGCTACTTGGTGGCTGAGCCAGGAGGATCTTACATTGGAGGCCAGTCTGGGCATTCTTAGAAAGACCTTGTTTCAAGATAAAAATAAAAAGGAGGGGGGTATAGCTCAGTGGTAAAGCACCCTGGGTTCTATTCCCAGTAGTGAAAAAAAAAAGATATTAGACTGATAAATCTTTGCCATCTTCCTTGCTCTCCGATGTCTTCAAGTATGTTTTAAAATATTTTGTCCATCTTTTCTCAGTTGTGTTCAGTAGGAGGTTGGTCTGAATAATCTACCATGATTGGACCTGAAAGTTCCCTTTCCACTTAAATTTTGAACACTTAGCTTATGATATGTTTATGTAACCATAATATTTGATTTTATTTCATAGGTTCTGAAGCAGAAACACCTGGATGACCGTCTGCGACATGTATCTGTAAGAAGATTTGAGTCCTTTAATCTGTTTTCAGTAACAGAAGCCAAAAAAAGGGAAACTAAAGAAGAGGCTGCTGCATGGATCCAGTACACAAGTGTCTTCTATCCTGAATATAATGTCTTCTTAAGGTAACCATTATTATAGTTATGATTTAAAAAAACTATTGTCAGGGCTGGGGATCTAGTGCCCGCCTCGCAAGCACAAGGTCCCAAGTTCGATCCCCAGTACCAAAAAAACAAACAAAAACAAAAAAACTATTGTCTCTTGTAGAAGAGAGAAAATCTTGTAGAAGATTGATCTTTTAATGAAGAATCTCATTGTTAAAAAAAAAAAAAAAAGAATCTCATTCTTCCATTGTATTTGTAGACAATTTTTATCAAAACATAGGTTTTGCAAATTTGTTTTAGAAAATCCTGCTGCTTGAACTGGGTCTTGCTGTACTTTCAGACTAAAAAAAAAATCCTTATGCATATGGCTACATTTGAGAATAAAGTGAGTTGCAAATCAAAGGGTTCATGAACTGTTCTCTCATACATAGCATTTGATTATGACAAAAAGCTAGAGTTTGGTTTTTTTTTTGAAGTAAAAAAAGGTTGAAAGTGAAAACAGAATTTTTCCAAACTACTCTTCAAGTAGTAGTTATCTGAAAAGTCAATCTTTGGTATTTTTCCCATTCATGTTTTGTCACTTTAAGAATAGAATCTGAGGAATAGGAGGAGAACATTCAGCTAAAACACTGATATTGTGAGAAGCATACAGACTGTTCTGGCTTTAAAAATTAGAAAAGAGACAAGAGAGTTGCAAACTGCAGTAACAAGATACCACTTTTACTGAATTAATTTTCTCTCACAGTTATATTCTAGCACATTGCAATAATACTGCAGTTGTTTCATTTTATAAAATCTGCCTTTCCTGACAAGATTTCACATTTTGAAAGGGAGGGAGGAGCACATTTATTGTAACTGTGTAAGAAGATCAAAAACATTTCTAGTGGAAATATGACTGTATGAGGCTTAGGTGAGGCTAGGAATAATTTTAAGAAAAAAATTTTCATGAAGTATAGCTAACTATTTTAGTTTAAAATATCTAAGTTTTAAAAGATACTAGTTAAAATTTTGGTATTTAAATAAAATCAATTAGGATGGACCAGGAAAGAATAGTCAGGATCTGGTACATAATGTTTGTTTCATTGAAAACACTACATAGAGACAAATTTAGGGATTTGTAAGCTTGCCTTTATATTTTTTATGAAATTCTACTTAGAATGGCTCATTTGCATTGCACTGTGATGGAGATAATCAATGTAGTCCTTGGTTAGGAAGGAAAGAAAAGTGCATTACTTACTCTGGCCCACATACACAGGTGCTTTCCTGTAGTTTATTTCACATAATCCTTACAATAACTCTGGGAACTAGGAATGAAGATGATTAAACAGTTGGAAAATAATATGTGAAAGGAAATTAAAAAGAAGGAAAAACAGTGTCCCAGCAGGAGTTTTCAGATATAAAGTTTAAAACTTTTCTTTTTTCTTTTTAATTTTTTATTTATATATTAATTGGTACATTTTAGATATACAATACATTTACATTTATCATAGGGTGTTTGTACCTGTACATGATGTATCTTAGTTCTTATTTTTTCCCCCATTACCTATGCACCCTTCACCCCCACCACCTTTCCCTATTTACATAGACTTTGTTTCCATTTTTTTTTTTCTTTCTCATAATTTTTCCTTTCCCTTCTTCCCTTTCCACTTCCCCTCCCACCACCCCTACCCCTTTGGATCTTTTCCTATTTCAAATTATCAATTATTTGTCTTAATCATTTTCATCCTTATTTACATTTTCAGTTTCTCACACTAGAGAAACTATTTGGTATTTACACATGTGTGTCATATTTATTTTACTTAAGAGTATGACCTCAATATGCATCCATTTAGCTATAAATGACTCTAGTTTTTCATTCTTTATGGCTGAGTAGTACCCCATTTTATAAAAAAAACCACATCTTCTTTATCCAGTTTCCAGTTGATGGGCACTTGGGCTGTTTCCAAATTTTAGCTATTACAAACTGTGCTGCTATAAACACAGGTGCACATATATCGATTCTTTTAATTCTTTGGGGAAGATACCCAGTAGGGAAATAGCTTGGTCAAATGGGACCTCTAGTCCTAGTTCTTTGAGGTATCTCCATACGGATTTCCACAGTGGTTGCACCAGTCTGCACTCCCACCAACAACGGAGA